GTTTTATATATTTTCATCATGGGACTTTCAAGAAAACTTTCAAACTTTCAGCGTACCATAAGTCAACATGGTCTAGACAGTGTGTGCAATTTTCCAGGTTTTCTCCGCAAACCTTTAATGAAGGTCTGACTGGCTTTTTTTGTCGCCTGGTAATCTCCTCCGGGAAAAACGGAGTTTTAACCAAAGCACCAATATTCCATGACTGCCCATGGTATTCTCGCTCACAGTTGGCGACGCTCACAACAAGGAGAAAACGAAGGAAGACGCCTTGTTTGACCGCAGTTAAAAGGCGATCATTTAGCCATTTAGCACAAGTGCTTTCATTGGTCAATCTTGTCTAACCGGTCAGCTAGCCTTGACTTCAACAACGAAGCAATTTAACGCATCGATGATTGCTTTCCTAGACGTTGTGGTGACAAGCGCATCAACAGAAGTGAGTGGAGCTCCAGATCACGTGCCACTTTCTGTGAGTCAGCTGACCAAATATCGACAGCGAATCAAAACGGGCCCAAAAGCCAGGTTTATCTCGATCGCAAGGCAATAAAAGCCAGCGCACTCCTAAACATCGTTAGAGTGTTGATATATGATATTGATCTGAAACTTTTGGCTTTCAGCAGAGCATTAATGGTTGATTACCCTCCGCCAAGCTTACGGGAGCAAAAATTATGGTTGTGGGGTATCGAAACATCAGTATTGCACACCGATGTCATGCCATCGATGATGCTGATGAGAACAGAAGATGCTGATATATCTAATAGACATAAGAAATCGTACAGATTGGGTTCCGTAGTAATTGTCTGAGTGTATGGCGTTTTATCGCTTAAAATGTAAAAAAAACTGTATTTGATATGCTGTTGAAGTTGGAGGCGAACCCTATCACATTCCGTGATCTGCCTTCTAGCAAACTAATAACAAGTTCAATGAAAACTTTTTGACCGTATATCAACGGTTTCGCTATTTTGGAATTTATCGGGTAGGCGATGGGGCTGTATTTCTAGCATTCTTATTTTAAACTTGGTTGCAGCTTGCGATTCTTTAGAGGGATTCGAACCCGCGACCTGTCGGCTAGTAGCTGGCATAGACAAGTTGGTAGTACTGTGTGCCTGTGATTTTTGTCTCAGATGCAACAGTGCAAATTGAAATGTCCAGTCTTTTGGCAGTTTCCAAAAAATGACTGAACGTTTTGTGAATATGCTTGATCAGATCCGACGTTGGTCTTACAGTTTGGTCATTTTACTTATGACATATGTCTCTTAAAAACATATCCCATGAGAGTAGAGCTCCAGAGTTTCGCAATCATGTTTGCCGTAAAGTTCTAGCGAACACTGAGGATCAGAAAAACTCCTACGCATGATAAGGAATAAAGCCGCTTCGTTTTGTGTTTTTGTAGGTTGTGTAGGACGGAATCACTGAGCCGTAGTTCCAAGCATCCGGCAGAGGTAAAACATCGTTGGCAAAGAATTGTTGAACGGATTTCTGAGAAATTAGGAAGCGAAAGCGTGCTAGAATTAAGGACCGGTTTTTGTTCAGTACATCATATCAGTTGATACGTTCTGTATTCCAATGAGTTTGCTTCTTGAACCTCGGAGATGTTCCGACACTTTACACCAAATGATTGAAAGCCCAGTGCACTACGAAAAACTTGTGAGGGGTGAACAGTGGATAATTTATGTCTGGTTACGTCACCCCGACATACTTCGTCGGTGTTCTGTCTATGTGCGGACGTGCATGCACCTGTGTCATCACGAATTAAAAAAAGTCAAATTGAAAAGCAGTCGAAACAAATTCCGGGTTTGTTGCCAAATTTGGCACCTTCAGACGCTTATCGCTTAAAATGTAAAAAAACTGTATTTGATATGCGGTTGAAGAGTTGGAGGCGAACCCTATCACATTCCGTGATCTGCCTTCTAGCAAACTAATAACAAGTTCAATGAAAACTTTTTGACCGTATATCAACGGTTTCGCTATTTTGGAATTTATCGGGTAGGCGATGGGGCTGTATTTCTAGCATTCTTATTTTAAACTTGGTTGCAGCTTGCGATTCTTTAGAGGGATTCGAACCCGCGACCTGTCGGCCAGTAGCTGGCATAGACAAGTTGGTAGTACTGTGTGCCTGTGATTTTTGTCTCAGATGCAACAGTGCAAATTGAATGTCCAGCCTTTTGGCAGTTTCCAAAAAATGACTGAACGTTTTGTGAATATGCTTGATCAGATCCGACGTTGGTCTTACAGTTTGGTCATTTTACTTATGACATATGTCTCTTAAAAACATATCCCATGAGAGTAGAGCTCCAGAGTTTCGCAATCATGTTTGCCGTAAAGTTCTAGCGAACACTGAGGATCAAAAAACTCCTACGCATGATAAGGAATAAAGCCGCTTCGTTTTGTGTTTTTGTAGGTTGTGTAGGACGGAATCACTGAGCCGTAGTTCCAAGCATCCGGCAGAGGTAAAACATCGTTGGCAAAGAATTGTTGAACGGATTTCTGAGAAATTAGGAAGCGAAAGCGTGCTAGAATTAAGGACCGGTTTTTGTTCAGTACATCATATCAGTTGATACGTTCTGTATTCCAATGAGTTTGCTTCTTGAACCTCGGAGATGTTCCGACACTTTACACCAAATGATTGAAAGCCCAGTGCACTACGAAAAACTTGTGAGGGGTGAACAGTGGATAATTTATGTCTGGTTACGTCACCCCGACATACTTCGTCGGTGTTCTGTCTATGTGCGGACGTGCATGCACCTGTGTCATCACGAATTAAAAAAAGTCAAATTGAAAAGCAGTCGAAACTAATTCCGGGTTTGTTGCCAAATTCGACACCTTCAGACGAACCTTGTGTCAGGTAATACAGTCGAGACGGTAAAGCCAACAGCCTGCATGCAGATTCTGTGGCATGGAACCGCAGTTCACTGACGCAACTTGTTTGAATGGCACGGTCTATCGAACTGTCACAGCCTTTGGGTTTTAAGTAAATCTCTCCCGTGAACAGTGTGCCCAAGTAACAAACAGAGGAAAGGCGAGTCAAAAGACGGTTTCTTTATGGCTGGAGTTTGATAAAAACGGTATTTATCTTTTGGTTCTTGTGACCATTTAAACTATGGTATGCCCCCCAAGAGATAAATTATGAAAACAAGAACAGCGTCCAACCATTTTGAGCGCACTTGAGCTGGTTGTGCCTAATGGATAGCGGTTGAGATAGTCGAGCTCGATAGCCAAACGTTCACTTGCGTCATCTGACGCAATTCAGTCAGTTTCGATTATTCAACTCTAGACGAAGGTCATTTGTGGTGACTGAAACTTTCAAAATAAAATTTGCCTGCTTTACGTCCCCATACAACACCCGAACTACCTTCGTGAAACCCATCATTTCAGTAGTCTTAATTCAAGTAGTCAGCTCCGCAAACGTTTAGTATGGCGGTACAAATCTTAGATAGGCGCTGTCTAGGTCACGATTCTGTTGTGCAAAAGTACCTAGAAATCAACCGGGTTGTTTGAATGGATATGGATATAAATGACCGATTTTTTGGTTAAACCGGTTTCCCCAACCGTCACTCAAGTTGATGAGACGTCCATTTCTGTCTGGCGCTAGAAGATTGGCAAGTAAACAACGGCCAGAACACTCCCAAAACGTCTTAACGAATCATGCAGGGCGAATCTAAGTGGTACCAGTCGAATGGTGGCGATATGTAAGCCGAATTTCACTCACAGCCCCAGGACAAGACAAGTTGACGGCCCCTCCATGGGGCAGGGGAGTGCAAAGTTCAGACTTCCTTTCGTATCTGTGCTTACATTTAACACTCACAAGCGAGATGGTCCCTGTAATGAACATCCTAGCCGAAGCTTCCTTGCCGGTTACTTTAGGGTGAGTAAAGATGCATCAGTTTATCTGTTACGGAGCACAGCTCTGTATAAGCTTTCAGCAGCGTGACGTGTGCATTAATATACGTGCTTCTCGCCCAGGCTGACCCTCGATCAAGATTGTTTGTTCCGTTGAACGATTCCATTGGCTGATCTTTTATCCTCTGTCCTGATTGGTCGTTGCTAGCATGAGCACGGCCTTCCCTGCTTTCATCCTCTGGAGTGACGTGGATTGACTTTTTCGAGGTTCCACTCTGAGACTGTTGTTGGTACGACTCAGAAATCCAATCTGGGAGATATAAAAGTCTTGGTAAGCAAAGACACGCTCACGGAATGGGATTTCTGGAAGCATGGCATTTCATGGCGGATTAGACCAACCGACGCGTTGAATTAGGTCCATGCACTATTATGTGAAAAGGGCCAATCTCCCAACTGAAAATCCGAACAAAACCGACCACCGGAGTAAAAAACAAGCAATAAGAAATCCCTCGGAACCAAGAAGAGTCACAAAGTGGAACCCAGAGGGCTCGGAAAGAGTGGCNCACCGAACCGACCGTAGGACAAGAGCGCAGAACGCCGAGCTTAAAAGTCACGCAGGCACCGACTAAACCGGACAGAGTATTACGAACCAATCAATGGAACCTCCCAACCGAACGACCTATCATGATCGAAGGTCACTTCCGGCGAGAACCACGTATATCAAAACAAACGAAACAATAGTCAGCGCACAATAATAGACCAATTTCTACACTCCACTCCGATTCTTAACAACGTAGTGATGCAGTCACTTTGGCTGGTTACCAAACATTTGCTATCGAATTGCTTAGGTCAGTGGACAAGCCAACTATCGTCAGCGTATCGTACTCAAGTCACCTTATGTGATTGTCGCTCCGCCTTCCAAGTTTGAGTTTCCATCTTTTGTCACAACAAGCACCACCATGTGACATCTGGTGTAAAGAAGTACTAAGGGGTGTAGGAGGTCGGTATTCTAAATTGTCTCCACGACGCACGGGACACAGCCCACTTAGACGCAAATTTTGGACTGTCTGTTTTTCCACAACAGTCAGTGGGATTCATTTCAACCTACTAGATCTTCACCACCTTTACTTGTGGTGTATTCTGAATATGCTTAGGGTTCTGTGTTTGGTAGCGCAGTCAATTAAATCAATTGCTTCTAGTCTCAGCCCTTTATAAATCATACATTTCATATAATACTGATTCCTATCATAGTCTGTTGCACCCTCTCGATCTTGCATGCGTGCTCTGTTGACGACGAGAAGGCTCCGACACGTCATTTGAGCAAATGATTCCAGTAAAGTATGTTGATATCGAAATGTAGGTGAGGACTTCGTGTGGGTTACGCCCAGGGCCAACAAATTTCAAAAGATTGTTCAAAGGGGTTATACGCTTCTTCTGAACCTGGCAGTATGTTGATATCGAAATGTAGGTGAGGAGTTCGTGTGGGTTACGCTCAGGGTCAACAAACTTCAAAAGATTGTTCAAGGGGGGATACGCTTCTTCTGAACCTGGTTGTGTTCAGTTACTCTCAGCCTGTGTTTTCGTATGTTCCTGTTAGGCGGAACCCCACACGGATCCCCCTTTACCACTCACAGTCAGCTGCTGCTACGGCCGAGAAGTCCACCCCAAGCAAGTTTGGCCAAGAATTGGAGACGCTTGCCGGTCCGTCATCAAGCCGAGATCTGATTGGTCGAAAGTCTGGACCCAACAGCCAATCATGACCCAGGATTGGCAGAATGCCGGTTGCCAATGGCGCATCCGGAGCGCGTTATTGCCGCCTAGGCTATATATATGAAGCGCTGTACAAGCGTTCCTGACTTCGTTTTGGGCGTTAATATACCTTGTGCACCTCTGGTGATTGTTTTGACGTGACCGCTAGCTTGGGTGGCTTAGACCGAGAACTAAGCCGAGAAAAATACCGTTACAACAGTCCCATAGGTCAGACATCAAACGCGGGTTAAGAATTCGATGCAATTCTCACACGCTCATATGGACTCAAACTCGGACCCACCAGACTTTATGTATACGTTGTGTACGTGATTAATCCACATTTCAGACGAAATCATGTAAACAGCCTTTCACACGATCGTTCCAGATGTAGTTTGGCTTTGACCTACATCAGGGTAAATCAGTTACTAAACCTTAGGTTGCCTGGGTTATGGTGATTCGGTTACAGAGTGATGCACATACTACTGACAACACGTGCCAGTAATATCCGGTCAAATAAGTTTAAAGCACCGCTGTTGCCTGTGATGGATGTCTGATTTGGAAATTATTGAACCCTTTTGTAATATTTGTTGATTTGTTGTCTCGGTAACTGGCTTTCTCAAATCTCTGTGCAACTGAGGTCTATACTTCCTTGTCTGATAGCCTGTAACTGCCTATTTTATGTGCGTCGGTAACTCCGCACTCGAGGTTGATTTTTATTCCACTGGTATCCATACCAAAATTTATCGGGCATTAATTTGTTCAACTTAAATTTCAGTCAAGTAATCACTGGGTCAATGTCCCCACCGGAAGCGGTGAATTTGTTGTCCACTTGGTCTCCCTAATTGAACTGTGTTGCTTCAGTTACCATCGACTTGTCTTAGCAATGCGGCTGGATTCGGTATCTGTCGTATGCAACTTGTCATCAGCTCTCGTGACCAATCACCACGTGACCGGAAGCGAGTCACAACGGAGTTTACTAGTGACACATGAATGTCTCTACGCCAATGTTGATTGCAACATACTCAAGACAGCTCTTGAGGAATCTGCTTGTATGTGGATGACTCAAATGTAAAATTCGGGTTTCCAAAGCGGAACTGACCTAATTATTATTGGTAGATGACGAAGAAGGAAGAGTAAATATGTTGAGGTGCCCCCCCCCAAAAAAAAAACACGGATAAACAAAATTCAAGCTGGTTCAAGTTTTAAATGAAAGTATTTACAGCATGTTTGCATTGTTTTCCACCCAATATCATTTTTGACAGCACTGCAACAGTCCCAGTTCATTTTGAGAACTTCCGGCTACCGTGTAGCAGTTGGAGAATTGTGACCAGACCAAGCTTACCACGACGGACCTGAGCACTGGACATATGACCACGATCGGACTAAAACCCGGCCATATTCTGGTTCGCGTTTATTAAGCTAACCTGCCCACCCACAAGTCACACCTTTACTGAGGACAGGAATAGAACAGACACCATTCCGTATGCGGAAAAGAACACGTCTCTGATATGATTTGTAGTACCTACTCACTGAACTCAAGTGGAGTTCATTTTGTTCACCCACTGCAAGACTCAAACGGAAGATGCCAGTTTAACACCAACCGAACAAGCGTAGCTATACTACTTTAAGTAGTCAGCTATAAGGGATGGTGTTTATTAGATCGATGATTCTATTCGACGCTGGATCATCCGTGCTTACACACACATTTCCCTCAGTGCTATGATGTGAAAAGAACATCTTCGCTAGTACCGACTACCCGGTTCGACTTGTACGGAACATCAGGTAAGAAATGCGTAAATATCAGCTTGCTTACAGAAGAAGCATCATAGAAATTGAGAAAAAAGCTGTGGAGATGATCTGTAATTCAATAAACTACCCAACTAGTGTAATCATATCAGTCCTCCTAAGTGTGCTAGTATATTTTACTGGCAGTTTCTGTTGTACGTCGCTTTCAAAATGTTCACCTAGGGCACATCATCATCTCATCATCATCATCATCATCATC